TATTTTAATTAAATTAAATTTTTAATAAAAATATTTTTTAATTATATATATAAAAAATATAAATAATATAAATTTTATTATTTTTTAATAAAATTATATATTTACTTTTTTTAATTATAATTTATTATTAATTGTTTATTAATTTTAATTTTATTAATAATTATTAAATTATATAATTAAAAATATTAATTATAATATTTAATATTTTCAATATTTTTTTAAATTAATTAATTTTTTTATTTATATAGTTGTTAAAAATATAAAAATTAAATTAAAAATTATTATTAATTTTAAAATTTCAAATTTTAAATTTCAAATAATAATAATAATTATTATTATTATTATTTAAATTATTTAAAAAATTTTAATTAAAGTTTTAATTTTAAAACTTTATATTTTTATTATTTATCAGTTTTAACTTAATTTTATTAAAAAAGTAACTTAATAATTAAAGTCATTATTATTTATCTTTATTCAGATTGAGATATTAAAAAATAAATACAATTAAGAAAACTAATAATTATTAAAATTATATAAAAATAAAATATATTATTTTAAATAATTAAATTTTTAAACACTTTTAAAAAAAGACTTATAAAAGATAAATAATTGATTTAAGATAATTGATTTAACTAAATTTACTCATATTTAAGATTATGAACATGTAATAAATAATAGTTTTACTGAATCAGTCATTCTTGTTATTAGATTAAATGATCAAAAGATTAAAATATAAATAAAAGTACTTTTAGGAGGACTTCTCTATTCTAGAGGATCTCATCAAAATGTGTATTTTCTCAGAGTGACTTGTAAGCTGGATTATTCTATAAAATTCCATCTTTTTCACGTGTTCGTCAACTGGTTAAGGAACGCGTCAAGGACGCCGCCAAATAGAAAGTATAGATCTTTTATTTCAAATAAGATGATAGAGAGATCAAATGAAGCAAGCAGTCGGTGATTTCGACAAGATAACTCCTGAATTGGCCGCAATTGGACGCATAACAGGTCTCATAACCTGACGGAATGGCAGGCTTGATCAAAATTGCAAATTTGCTAACTTACGAGAACGACTCTATGTGGCGGATAATAAGTCACGTGACAGAAGGTCCGACAAGTCAACGAAGTGGTTGTCCACATGTCTAACCTGTGTATGTCGTGTCTCGCAGCATACCTTGCAATTGATGTTGTAAATCTTCAAAGATTGTTGTTGAATTACTTCTGGAACAACAAGTCAACCGAAATGGGCGGGAAGAAAGGGGAGGGTTTCTCAGGGTGAGATGCCGTCGCGCAACAAGATAATCGCAAGCTCAATACGCCAACTAATATGTTAGTTAATTGACACCTGGGGCCTAACGTGGCCCAATCTCATGGGGCTGTCTTCTTATCTGATGGATTTCATTCTCAGCTGCTCCAAGCCCTATCAAACCTTTTTTTTATGTTGGGGAACAGAAGATGTAATAATGTTCTAGTCTTCTATCCTCTCTCTATATAGTTGTTAAAGCACGGATTGTATTATTACGCTCTTACCGGCGAGGAGATCACGAAGAGTAAGAAATTTCTATCTGCAGAACCCCTTTTATCAAGCATACTTTGCTTGTATTTGCACGAATGTCTCTCTGTTTCTTTCCAAAATTGAAACATCAGAAGAAGGAAAAAAGAAAAAGAAAAAGAAAAAGAAAAGAAAAAAAACAGGGCTGAAAATAACAATCCAGTTGACATGCAGGAACAAATTAAGGAATACGGAACACACGACGCAAGATATGACAAGGAAAACGTCTTTCCTACGTTTGCAGCAAGGACACGGTGTTGCATGAAAACATGCGACTGATTGCGAAGATAATGACCTTGCAGCCCCCCACGAGAATGGAACCCAAAGCTTGAAGACCCAAATATGAGGCCTCAGGCAGTGGACATTTAATCATGATATGATTTCGTTTCCTCATATGTTGTACTCCGTATACCGAGATGAGAGCATGTCGAATGGCTAAACTAAAATTCCAGCGTCATTGCGTCATCCTTCTGATGTAGTTTACCAACTTCCGATTCCTTCCTCGTATGGCCGGTTTTCCCGCGCAACTGGAAAATGTGCGATAGCCGCTCACACTTTTTCCCTTTCTTAAACAGACCAAACATGGGGACCTGCCCGACAGAGGCTTTTTGCCGAAATCGCATGACAATGAGTGCACACGCATGTTTCACAAAAATCTCCTCCCCCCCTCCTAAAATGAGGGGGCTAGATTGTCTCTTTGTGTTCCCCACGCGATACCGCAGGTGATTGGAAACTGATTTCGCAATATTTGCCATAAGGTAGTTAGGTGCTTTTTCTTTTTTGCGCAACTTGACAGCGTTTGCGAGATAAGAAAGGGGTCACAGCAGCATCAGGCATGGACTAGTGCCGTGGCGTGCCGTGGTTTCGGACTGGGTGTTTGTTCTTCTCGTTATTTTTTCGTCTTTGTACGGTACGTTTGTCAATGCCTCAAAAGTGCCTCTGAAGTGTTGTACGTTTCTCTTCGGAGGGGATAAAGATGATTCGATAGAACATCTCTTTTGGCCCCGCTGATATCGAACACCCCCTTCCCATACAGGGAGAGATCATCTCCACCGTTGAACATGTCCGCATTGGCCCACCAAGTGAAGATTGTTGGCCATGGGTGAGAAGATGCAACAGAGATTCAGCTTCTCCTCCAGTTAAGGTCAAACATCCGTTTCGGGAGAGATCTAGAGGAATTCCAGACCGCTTCCATCTCATCTCCCTTTCAACACCCATGTTTTTTACGACGTCATTGATGTGTCGTGTCATTTATTGAGACCTTGCATACAAGTCAAAATCTTCTGCCCGGCAAGCTTCATCTGCAGAAGCAGTCTCAACTTAAAGAATATATATATCAGATGTATCCAAAAATAGCATGAGACACATTAATCCGTAGACTCATTCATTTCTCTCTCTATATTATCCCCTCCTTTCTCACTCAACTCTGGACAAGCATGACAGCATACTCCCCTCAAATACGCGTATCACGCCGTAAATGACAAAACCACGATACAGCTCGGGTCGTATGCGCATGTATAGATTACAAGCGCCACGAAAGAAATGTTAAAAGCCTCCAACCCCTCTTTCTTGAATTCTGCCACAGCCACACAACGGAAGTAAGAAACGATGGCGCAAAATCCATCGCTGCATGTATAAACAGCTAAGGTTTTCAGGCTAAACCAACCAATGCATGTAAGTACGTATGACGCCAGACAATTCCTGAGCAGATCATTTAGTTGTTACCTCCTGAGGAAACCAATTGGACCTATTGGGTTGTCTGTTCATTTTACGTTTATTTGCGCAACAGAAGAGTGCAAAGCATGGCCTGCGTACAAGTTAGTTACCAGCTGCAAACGAGCGGGGAATTCAAACCGGAGCACTGGCAAAGGTAAAGATGAAAGAAAAGCAGCGATCGACAGACAAAGGCAGAACGTGGGTGCTCAATTGATTCGCTACGAGTTTTCCTCCCCCTTATTTCGTTCCTTGTCTTTCCTAAGGACGGTAACTAGCGGAGGTTACATACCATACATTCCAGCCCGGGAACATTTGATCCTCTTCCCCGGGAATTATCTTTAAAAAAAGGATAGAGAGTTGGGAAGAGAAAAAGATTCATCCACTTTTACTTTACACTTTTCGTTCTTTGGCAACCCATTTTATTTTCCCCAAGGTTCCACTTCAAATCCGTTCGAGCGATCTCTGAATGAGCTATTAGAAAATTTGCAATATTTGCACTATACGGCCCGATGCATATGATTCCAACAATAACCAATCTCCTCTGGCAAAACCCGCTTACGACCGGACGGGCCGGAAGTGTTTTTCTCATATATTATTCGGGCTAAATCTATATCGCGCTCATAGCCGAAGGACAAAAAAATAATTCGTGCTGAGACCAGGTTCAACCAATTCTCCCAGTTAACTGTAACTATCTGCGGTATAAGATCCGTGGAGGAAAATCCACGTTGTCATAAACTTGATATATATCCAAAAAAAAAAAAAGTTAACCGAGCTGCTGGACTACTTACCTCTGCTTTCCCCTTTTTTTTTTCCCCCCCCCTTTTGTTCAGTTCATTTGTCTCCCTCCCACCCCTAAGTTTAAGATTTCGATCTTCCACCTAGCATGCACGAAAGGGATGAGGCGCTTAGCCCATGTGTGGCCATATGACGTGGCTGTTGCCGAATCTAATTTTCCAAACATGATTTCATAAATAATTAATTAGGTGCCTTTCATCACTATAGAGTAGTCTGAAACCAGCGGGGATTTTTGCTTTCACTTGTCTATTTTTGGGGAGATGACAACGAACGGAGAATTAAGCTCCTTAATTAAACAAAATAACCTTACACAGTCATGTTGTTAAACATCCACCCCTTAAGACGTTCGAGAATCCAAGGTGTAAAGACAGAGAACTCCTCTCTCACGGCTTTCAGGCCAATTACTAATGTTAAGGAGTGAGGAAGCACTCCGTAGACCCTGATTGAAACAACAGCACTTGAGCAAAAAATATGTATGTACATATATAATTCGATATCTCTCGCCCAACGAAGAAGTCAACTTGAAGTCAACTTGAATTGAATGAGCAGCCGGTGTTGAACGCAAACACCTAACTACCTACCAGCTTTTGGTTTCACTCTTCTTTCGGGGCTTCTTACAGTGTTCCGAGGCTAACCAAGTTACGAACAAACCGCCTTTACATCAGATAATTGATAACCAATCATAAACTGTCAGTGATGCCATCATGCCGGCAGGAGCAAATTTATGGTATGATGGTTGAATAGAGTGTTCATTCGCGAGCAACTTGGGAATGGGAATTCTAATGTTATTATTTTGACACATTTATCATGTTGTGTCTGTTCCAGTTACTCCAAAAACAAAACCTCCTCAGGGTTCCTGGAATCAAGAGCCAGAAGCGAAGCATTTCTTAAAATTGGCGTAGTTATCTGCTGTCGGTTTTACCGATTCAAGTTGACAGAACTCATTTGTAAGGTTCGTTAGTTACCCCATCTATTTTTTTTTAGATGGTTAACGCCAACCTTACTTGAAAATCGCTCATGGGTGCCTGTCGTCTGTCTGCATGAGTGGTTACTATTTGACAATTGATGCGGCGTGAAGAAGAATGTACATCTCCCGCTCACTGTCACATTCTTGGTCGGCCCAGATGAAAGCTTCGTCGATAAAAACGGCCTTGTAAGTATACCTCCGGCATTCTCCACCCTAATGAGAGGGATGATGTTAGAGAGTAGTTTGAATGGCACAGCATGTAGATCCAAGGGACTTTTGTGTGATTTGCCCAATTCGCATGCACTGGGGATTATTCCAAGCCGGCTGTGGTTGTGTCGGAGGACGAACAACCCGCCTCGAAGCTCGCGGTCCAACCCGACACCGATGGTGGGCTTGCAAATCCCCCAGCCAACAATGTTCACCAATGGAAGTATGCACGGCAGATCAGATAGAATGCGTACGATGGGGATTTCGGAGGCCCTGGAAAGAAGGCGAAAGGAACGAAGAGAACTTCAAGCGAAGCAGCAGAGTAATTCGCCAACCCACAAGAGAGATGCTGAATAAATAACCCGCGTTTTGCTCATTTTCCACATCTACAGACTTCTCCTATCCGGGATGGAGATCTCGTAGATACGGATATTTAAGCAGTACAACGCATTGTTCTTCACCACTTTTATCTAATTCCTAGGAGGCTCCTGGGTGCATTCAGCTACGGTTTCGCATGGTCACAATTAGAGTGTGTAAGGTAAACCTGAACAGAAGTATGCTAGAGAGATAAGTAGTTAAGTTAAAAAGTCCTCTATACGAACGGATTCATATGGTATTAAGAAGACGGAGATAAGAGAGCAAGAGAGCTGAAAGGTTAATGAGATCGGCTTGATTCGGGTTGGTTTACAAACACAAAAGTTAAATAACGTTTAATATCAGTCAAATTGGAGAAATCAAATCATCACAAACCAGTAAGTCAGTTAGTCAGGTAGTCAGTCAGCGGATAAAGGCAATAGGTTAAGCTCATTTCGTGTACAAGTTGCTAGTGCTAGTGCTATTTTTCGAGGGGCAAAAATAGACGGGACAGGAGAGGATTCAGTTCTGACTAACTGGTGAATTAAGGGTCTCAAGAAGAAGACAGGGGAAGGGGGAAGTAGCAGGTGGGAGAGGAGGGTGCTAGGGCGTGTGATAGCAAAGTGAGGGGTGAGGAAAAACCCTGAAAAAAGAAACATCAAATTAACTCTCGTCGCCCTCGTCAGGCTGTTCGAATAGGAAATTCGCGGCCAATTCCTCGTTCTTGTCGCAGGCGAAATATGCTTGGATAACCGAATCGCGGGGGAATCCCAGACGGCAGAGCTATTAAAAGAGGATTAATGTTAGCTAAACAGATTCTAGCTAGGGAATGTAATCCTGTAAATGGCAAATAAAAAGATCATACTCTTTCAATCGCATCTCTTTCCTCCTCCGTGACAGTAATCTGATGCGTGCCTGGAGGTAGCTGCGCATCATCCTCGATATCCTCGCTGAGCAGCTGAAGGAACTGGTCCTGGTTCTGTCCAATGAGCTGTGCAAGCTGAGGGTTCCCTGCACCGACCTGTTGCAGGATGGGCTCGAGCATCTGCGGTTGCTGCTGAACGAGTTGTCGCAGCTGCTGGAAATGGGGATTATTCCGCAAAAAGTCCAGATTTCCAAGACTTCCTTGTTGTCCTTCAGCGGCAGCTGCCAATCCCTGTCCTGTGGCACGAGCACCACGACCGGCTCCACCTCCTTGGGGAGCACCGGCTTGCGCAGCAGCCTCAAACAGGTTGACGTGCTCATCCCCTCCAGTTGCTGCTGGAGCTGCGGGACCGCTGGGTGCCGTTGTCGCGGGAGCCGCTTCTCGCTGCTCAGCTTGACTGGTTTCGGGGATACCCTTTTTGTAATTAGCAAATTGATCAGTTGAAAAAGACTCCTCAACAAGTGGTTAACAGACTAAGCATACATTTAGGAGATACTCGATAGCTCGGTCGGGATTAAAAAACGCAGCTCTCATGGCTCGATCTATATCACTTCTCGGAAAACCCATGGACTCCATCTGTGCAATTACTTGTTCGCCCTGAGGGCCCATAAGAAGGGCTGATGGATCGTTAAAAGTTGCACCACCAGCTGCTGCTGGAGCTGGAGCTGGAGCTGCAGGTGTGGTTGTAGCTGGAGCATCTGTGGGTTGAGGATTAGACGCGGGAGCGGGTGCGGCAGGTGTTGAAGCGACAGCAGGAGTGGGAGTCGAAGGAGCTTGGGATGATGTGGCAGCTGGGGTTGTTGTCTTTGGCTGTACATGTTGTTAGAGTCCAGACTAAGGGGCCTTAAGGCGAAATAGCGGGGTATTTAATTGCATGGAAATTACCTTCGTGACCATGCAGACTATGAATCCCTTCTCCTCGATATTGTATGATTCGATGGTATTTTCATCTTGTAGAATTTTTCCTGAAACAACAAATATTATTAGTGCCGTGCCCTCATGCAACAAAGCTAGTTTCAAATTTTCCCCCTTCGCTTCCGCACTAGAGTTATCCATTCTCTGGGGAAAAAAATAATATCGAAGTACCAACCCTCTACCATTCCTTCTCCGGGGATGGATAGAATCGATTACGGAACGAGGGAAATAGAAAAGGGAAATAAGAGGATAAACGACGAACCGGAATAGATGAGTTTCTGCAGAGCGACATCCCAACCCCTTTCCTGGGAAATCCTCTCCTTAAGCTGGCCAATCTATTGGACGATGGGGTGTTAGAAATGCTTCGTGCGTAATGGTAAGGCAGGTAGCCAATGAAAAAAAGATATATGGCATATGGATTTTTGGATACTCCGTAGTTCTTAAGCAGTATATAAATGAAGTGCAGACATACGGTTTCTGAGGGTTCGGCTTCAATCACGAACTTTTGTTGCTTCAAATCCTACAAACAACAGTTTTATCAGCATATCGAAATGTCGAAGATATATATGTTTGCATCATGATCCAGTGTATAGACGTACCCTAAATGTGAGCTTCATTTTGCGGCTGCGGTGGGTCAACTGAGGGGCAGTTGACAGGTGAGGGGGAATACGTCGAGAGGAACTGCCAGGCAGAATCGAATTGACCGAGGGGAAATACTAACGAGCTGTAGAGAGATTTCGACGGTGCAATCTGGAAACTAGGTAGTTGAAGTTAAGAGAATAGGGGAGGTTGACAAGCTAGAAGTGGGAAATGAATGGGGTGGTGAACGGTGGCCGTTGATGTTGGTTGTTTGGTCTCGAGATAGTTGGTGGTTTGACGGAACGCCTGATCAGGGGAAGGCGGCGAGGGGATTCCGTTGATTCTGCCTTCTTGGCATCACCTATTCCGGTTAGCACAGAGAATATCCCACTAGCTTATGTCGGGTTTAGTTTAAACCTTATTTTGGAATAGCTTTACACTAAGATCAAGGTCTTGGCGATCGAAGCCTTTTAAGACGAACCTCAGAAAAGCTGCGAGTTTCCTTTATGGAATCCTTTAGATTATTCCTCTTCACTATTTGGGCTGATTAGCTGTTCAAGAATTTTATCAACTGCGAACCTCATATGCAAGGGTTTATTATAACAAATAGCTTGGTTTCCGGGGGAAGGCCATACCCTGCTAGGAGTTACGGAAAACGGAGTGTTTGGGATAGCTACATTTTGAAGGAATACAGATTCAACTTCAAGATGGAAGTATGTTGTGAAAGACTTTCTAAAGAGAAAAATGTCCAAAGAAAGGGAAAAAAAAGAAAGGAAAAAAAAATAAGTATGACTCCGAAATGGTCGCTCACCCTCGCTATGCATTCATAGAGAAATAAGACATTTTCAATATATATCCCCTTTTTCTATTTTGGCGCCTGTATGCCGTTAATGTCTAATAATCATTAGCTAGCCAAAACGAAAACAATCCAAGGAAAGGGAGAATCAGGAGAATGAAACAGTGAGTAAGATAAGAAATGTAACCAGGAAGGAGATCGATGATATGTGGTCGTATGCGTTAAGGTGCTTTCAGTTCGAAAACGGCAAGATAGTTCAGTTCATATCCCCCAAGAATTGGTTCGAAACGAGGGTGCTCAGCATTTGCCATAGAGGTCGCACAGGCACTGTTTAGGAGGTGGACAGCTGGGTAAGAGTGTCAGTCAACCTCAACGACAACAAATGAGAGCGGGATATTTCAAATAAAACTCACAAAACCTCTTCCTGCCCAAAAATCACATGCCAAATCTTTTCAAACACCCACCCCATTTCAAATTCATTCAGCGACTTCTCCTCCAGAATCCACTGCCGCATCCTCACATAATCCTCCAACGGCCTCTGCAAAATCCTCTCCCGCGTCACCACAAACTGCGCACAGCACACTCCGCCAAGCTCATGCGGTACCTCCGTCGCATTCTCCATCCCAAACAGGTGCATATAAATACCAAGAAACTTGACTCGCACGTCATTATTTAGTATATCGATGTCGGTCGGGTTGTGTGGGTTGATGGCCGTCGGGTTGCAGCCTGGGTCGGTCCTGCAGCGCAGGTTAACGTAGCCCTGTGTCCGGACGGTTTCGAGACGCAGACGCTTGAGGATACGGCTTGTGTAGGGACTTATGTCATCATTGTGCCATTGGCGGTCTGTGCCGTGAACGAAGGCGGTGATTTCGGGCAGTGTGTCATAATGGTCAATTATGAAGGTTAGGTAAGGCATGGCTTCACGGCCGCGGTTGCGGGGGACGTGCAACTTGAAAGCCGGGTCGTTTTCAACCGAGTAGACAAAGGGAACCCACCTGGATATTTTATTTATTATATTTATTTATTTCCTTTTGTTAGCGAGTGATTCTTGGAAAGTTTTGGGTGTAATGTTCCGATGATTTATGGATAGAGGGACATATAGTTTTATCTATATCCATAATATATCTCTCTATTTACTGGGGGTGCATAGAACTGGAAGGACTAACTCCGGTAGCATCTTACATGTCCAATTGACTTTCTCATGTTTCGTCTTGCCCAGTACAATTGCCTGCTTGACTTTGTGGGAATCTGGTGCTGGAAGCTCCAGCGACAGCGGGGAAGACCACCACTCAATCATGTCTGAATATTTAGCACCTATCAAAACTAGAAAGGTGCAGAGCAGCAATGCAATCAATAATAGTAGGCGCACATGATGTCGTCGAGAAAGATACCAGGCCATGGTTTTAGTGTTTATTTTTATTTAAATTTATTTTTTTAAGGGAACCAGGGATGACGTTCCAATGATTGGCTAGAGAGCCTCTTTGTTGGTCTAGAAAAAGGGATCGCGTGTATCTGGCAGCTGTTGGAAAACGGGCCGTTATTCATGGAGCAAGGGAGTGGCACGGTGATGCGCGCATGCAAGAAATAATAGAAGAGAGGTTCTGCCTGTTTTATTTGTAAAGGAAAAGGAAAAGGGGAGTCTGGTTGCGGAATTGCCTGAGCCTCAGGGAAGCTGTTTTTATATGCTCCATATTCTATGTTTCGCTTTATATTATCGGCTTCCAGAATTACTTCGTTGCTTGCTTGTTTCAAGGTTTTATTGCTATTGGTCTGGACTCTCAAGTCAAGTCTGATTGGTAGCTTTGAGCCAAACATTTGACTCTATTACCAACTGGACAATGGGCTGTGGGATAACAGGGACCTTGACCACCAAAAGAGTCAAGATGGTCACAGAGCTCTGAAGATGAAGGTAACGACCTCCCTAGTGTCCAGTATCCGGATGGCGACAGCCATTAGCTGCTGGGATTTGGCACATGGCCTCCCCGCCTTGTCTTAATTTGACCAATAAATAACATTGGAATTCATCCTGTGGTTGGAGCATGGTTCTGTATTCAGGGCCTCAAGGGTCTATTTTAGAAATTCACCGCGGGGGAAAAAGAGATTGAAGTGAAGCTCCTGGACGGAGTGCTTGTCCCAAGGTTGAGTTGGATGTGGAATCAGCCCCCGTCCACATATATCCACTTGGCCCCTTTGACAAAATTGTTGTGGAATCATCTCTGAAGATATGCATGCACTGCGCATGAGCAGAAATGGGATTCTGTAACTTAAAAATGCCATTCCAGCAAATCAGTTTGTTTTCATATGAGGTGATTAGTTATTTGTGAGGTTTTGCAAGCGAAGATATTAACAATTCTCATAAATCATGTTTTCGAGCCGGTTATCATTAACTAAAAGTTATATTTTGCAACGTTAAATATTTATGCGTACCGCAAGGAAAGCTCTACACAAAATTGTATTTTTTAATCAACACGAACATAGCCATAGCCATAGCCATTGTCATATCATTATTCTTCGCTACCAAGAGACAAAAATGTATCCACAATGGGTACACCTGTCATGATTCGTCTTCTTTCAAGGTTATTGAAGCTAATAATTACGTCCGGGTGTTAGCGTCCGCTCAGTTTTCTTTCCTGAGATGCAGCGGGGAAACTGGATTTGGGAATGATTCTGATGAATGGGGTTAGATGAAGAGCAAAGGATGTGAGAGGATGAGAGGAGTTGAATTGAGCAATAGAATATATTTCATTGCGTTTGTGAGTTAGAACTACTTCTATTATACATTTGGGCTCATCAACATCAGTTGGAGGGAGCAGATAGTTCTATTATTGTGGGAAGCCAACTAGGTAATAATCTTGAGCTCTCCTCGGGCCTCTAACTGCTGAGGTTAGATGGCAATACACCGTGGATGGCTAATAAATAGCCATCTCATGATTTCACTTAGATATCTACATCCTCTGACGGCTCCCCCCCCCGATCCACGCACCCTGTACCGCCTCGTAACACTATATCACTTCAGATACCAACCGCAACTTTCAAGTTCCCATCCAATCTCCACCAATTGTTCTCCCCCAATAAATGGCATCATTCGCCAGCACTGTCATCACCAGCAGCAACCCCCTCCTCCTCATCTTCATCCTCACTAACCTCCTCCCCCTCCTCTCTAGCCTTCTCCCTCCTCTTCTTGATCCTCTCCCTCTTCCTCTCAAGCAACCTACTCAGCTTCTTCGCCGTATTAAACACACCACCAGTCCCAGACCCACACGCCGCACACGATGGATTCTTCCTATAGCGCTGCAACGCACACCCTTCGCAGAAATAATGTCCACACCGAGTAACAATCGGACTCTTATACGGTTGTTTACAGATCACGCATGCGAAGGGGATATTCTCCAGTAGCTCATCATCCTCGTCCTCGCCTTCACCTTGATCCCCACCACCTCCAGCCTTTGCATCCCGGCTCGCAACCGTCCTGCCAACAACCTTCTTCCCCCTTGTCCCGATTTCCCAATCCCGATCCAATTCCCAGCCCGCCTTGTAATCCTCCCGCGCATGCAGGAACTTACATCCGTCCCCAAACCCGCAGAAGCCCGTCTGTTTGTAATCCTTGCAGACATCCGGAGAGTAATCAGTGATAGTGATTGTTCTGATGTTTGTCGGGGCCTTGATGGGGCCGAACTGTTTGTGGGTCACGTTGGGGTTCTTTTGGAGGAAGGATTGGTAGTTTGCGGAACCGCGGTAAGTGCCGTCTGGGGGGTTGGAGGGTGTAGACGTGGATGTAGCGACATGGGCAGCACCAACAACGGAAGTAGATGTGGCAGGTGTGCTATTGCCCTGGTTCTTCCTAGTATTCCCTAGTAGATTCCTCGCGCTCAGCTCACCATCTTTGCCTCCAGCATCGTCATCGAACCAGTTTGAATGCTTCGTTGCATCGTTTGTCTGGGATATTGGAAGCGGAGCGGCACTCGTTGAAGTTGAGCTATCATCTATGACGGCTCTCTGTCGTTGCGCAGTTGTGCTATTTGCGGAGGATGCGGTGACGGTGGCATTCTTGCGCCTGCGCTTGATGGTGCGGCCGCCCTCTTCGTCGGAGGTGGAGTAGTCGGAGGCGGAATCTGAGGCGGGAGCAGGTGGCGAGGGAGCTCTCTTGCGGAAGCTGGATGATTTTGCTTTGGCAGAACGCTTCTTGAATGAGATTTGAGGGGTAGCTTCTGCTGTCTGTGCCTCACCCATGGTGATTTTTTAATGATGATATCGACGAGTATTGTCGAGCATGTTTCGCTGTTCGATTAAATCACCGGCGATCCAGCTCAAAATATATAGTTATGTTCATCCAAGCTCTATCTTGGCTGACAAATGCCAATCCACGTGATGTAATTCTTGGCGTAAACATTCTGTCCAACCCGAGCTGAGGGATATTGTTGATCCGAAACGCGCCGCGTTTGCAGTTCAGCCAGTACGTATCGAGTGGTATTGATGCAGCATTCGATCTTGGAGAGCGAAAAATGGCTGAGGAGATAGAGTCAATATAAATAACAATAGCGAGAATGATTACTCCATAGAGGAGAGGAGAGAGAAGTCAGAGACATCCCTTTGAACTGGGCAATCTGGGGTACATAATCGACCTCTAGTTCGGGGATATCGCTGTTGGATCGAAAGGCGTTGTCAAATGCTAAGCTGGCTTAAGTTGACTCTCGATACAGCGTTTTCTCAGCACGCACCGTGGAAACAAGAATCACTGCAACTTTCAGACCTGTATATTATTACATGCTGAATCACATTCAAATCACACTGCTGAATGATGCTACCTGCTCCATATTGTTAACTTTTTTTCCCTTTTTCTCCCTCCCCAGCTCACTCTAGACAATCATCAGCTTGTATTGTTTCATCAGGGTAACAACAGATTTCTCTGTAAGGAAGTAAGATGCGGGTCGGCTTAATTTCTTACACCCTGAAAAATAATCGAACAACTATCATCTCTTTTGTTCTTTGGCTTTCTTCTCCCACTCTTCTCTTCCTTTCCCTTTCTTCCCCATCCCCGCCCAATGAACACAGCCAACAGGTCGTGGACAAATTAATAGCATATCCCCAACAGCTTTCTTTTTTTCTTGCTTTAATGAAGTAGGAGAACGCTGTATGCGCGGGTGATCAGTCCTTCTTTTATATATAACAATATATATTTCCCTCATTTCGTTTCTATGATCTATTGATTGATTTGTTTACTTTTATTTTTTATATTTTCACTCCGTAATAATACCCCGTACACCCGCTGTAATACACTGCTCCCTTCATTTTTTGTAATATGTGTCATTTATTTTGAGAATCCTCCTTCTTTCGTTGTTTATCTTCATTTTATTTATTTATTTTTACTCGGTACATTTTCTATTCTCTTCTACTCATTACTTGGGGAGCTGTTAGTTGGTTCGTTTGTGGTTGTGGGTGGTTGAAATCCTGCTTTGACAACAATGGTGTCAGTTATTTACCACAACTAGTTACCCTTACTCCCATCCCAGTCCGTCAACAAATCAACAACGCCGGGCCAACAACCCAACAACGCACGTCGAAAACGCCACCATCTGTCTGTTTCGTCTCCCGCCCTCTTCACAATCTGCCATCCCTGTTCTCCGCATTCCCCTCCACCGTCGTCAAATTTCGCAGTACCATCCTCAAGAATAACGCCCAACTGTACCCTAGGCGCCCGAGTTCAGAAGAGGTCGGGGACAACCACCAACCCTTCTTCTTCCGCCCCCTCCCAATTGTGGAGCTCTGTTTGCTGCGGAAGAAAGAGGTCGTATCTGGTCTCTCCCCCATCAGCCAGCGGTGACTAGCAAGATGCGGTTGCATGGTTAAAGGGGGAAAGAAATCGAAACGAAACGAGAAACTTACCTTGGCCACGGAGCGCACTCCTTGAATAACACCGGACATATTTGGTTACTTTTCATAAGCTCAATCGATCACCTTACTTCTTCAAGTCATTCGTGTTACAACTGTTATTGGTGTCAGTCCAATTGGCCAGCTTCTCCAACGAGGACAGCATTGACACCAGCAACAACAACAACAACAACAGTAAACCCATCGACTCCCGTCCAGGTGAATCATATCCCTCTCCACAATGGAAGACCCCTTCATTTCCGACCCTGCTCCAGCCAGCAGTCTCCTCCCACAACAACGCGAGTCGCATCGCTATTCCTCCTTCGGCTCTCAGCTTTTTACCCTCAATGCCTCTTCACCGTCGCAAGTGAAGCGTGCCCTCGAAGCCCATCTGGCAGAGACTGAACGACGACTGCAGGATGCGTCGAAACTTGGCACTGCCCTTGTGCAGCAGCAAAAGGAACTTTCCGATAAACTAAAGGAGATTGAGCACCAGCAGGATGAGGGCGAAATTGGTCCGGACTTGCGGAGGAAACTGGCTGATTTGGAGAAGGAATATAATGAAATTGGTCGGGAGACTGCTCGTGTGTCTTTGGGTCCTAAACCTCGGCTAGTGCCTGCTGATGAGGAAGCGCAAGGCTCCCTTTCTCTTGATGGTCGGGTAAGTAACCACTCTTCTGCACAAAGTTCCCTCCCCCTCTTTTCCCTTTTTATTCTTTTTTCACTCTGGTGTTTGGTTGAATTTGATTTAATTCGTCATTTCACATTTCTATGAATGCATATAGACTCTCGGGAGTCCCGCTGTACTCTCGAGTCAGGCTACTAGCTCGCCAACGAAGGTCACTGTGCCGTCGAGGAGACAACGGAATCAACAATCAAGTCGAGTCCACGACATCGAATTCGCGACGGAGATTAGTACATCATTACTTGCTCAAGTCCGTCAACTACAAGGACTCCTCGTGGACCGGGAGGAAACTATTAAGGCTATCAATCTAGAGAAGTCCAGGCTTGAACTTGAAGCAGAAGCTTTTACGCAACGTCTACGCACGCTCGATGAAAGTGAACAGCGTTACAAGGACGAGAATTGGAATTTGGAAACACAAATACAGGAACTCCTTGCCTCTGCCAAAGAAGCTTCTGTGAGAGAGGCTAGGCTAACCACAAACCTGAATGCAGCTACTGCAGAAAACGCCACAGCCCAACGAAAGCTAGATGAGTTGAAACAGGTCAACGAGAAGCTGATTGAAGACAATACGGCTACACAGAAAACCTACGATTCTGAGCTTCATGTTCTTCGACGGATTGTCCATGTTGGAGACACGGAACGGAATATTCTCCAACAGAAAGTGGATGAACTTACCAACCAGAATCAAGAGCTGGCCAAGGCTGTCGCCGCGAAAATTCGACAACATGAGGCAGAGGGTGTTAATGACATCGCGCCAAGGGACAATGATGATGAAATGGATGAGGGTACCCCGGAACATTCACCACCTCCCTCTCCAAATAAAGCTACCCCTCGTCATGGACATTTGGAATCTGAGACTCTGAAAAGTTCCCTATATCATGCTCATCGCATGATCCAGAACCTGAAGAACAATATTCATCGTGAAAAGACCGAAAAGATGGAACTTAAACGTATGCTTCAGGAGGCTCGAGATGAGGTTGAACAGCGACGTGTCGAGACTCATGCACCGTCAAGCGCCAACAAACGTCAGAGAGTAAAACAAGATGTGTTCAAGAAGCCCGCTCGGCCAGAAATGCTTGGTGCCAGGCGCGGTTTTGCGGAAATTGAAATTGGGGAACCAGATTGGGAAGAGCATACCGTCGAAGCAAGTCCCACCAGGAAGTTTTCTGGAAGATTAAATACCTTCCTGTCTTCTGCTCGCTCCCGCAGTGACTCAGTTGATGCAAGCGACGCTTATCAAACCACAAACGAGACGGAAGACGCATTCGAAACTGCAAATGAGCGAGAAACCGCGACTGAAAGTGAGGCTTTCCAAACTGGCGCTGAAAGCCTGGGTGGAAATACCAGTGAAGAGGAGCTTACTGAAACTGAAAGTCGTTCTGGCCCCGCAACTGGTGTCCGCAGTAAAAAACCCACAGGACAGTCCATGACAAAACCTGGCGATCGGACATCCTTCATGAGCACATCGTCGACTTCCGATGAGGATTTTGGTGTGGACTATGAGCGTACGCCCATTCAAGCACTGCAACCACAGCGCTACAGGTTGAAAATGACTCGTGTGCGTGAACGACGTGGGCGAACCTCCGGAGACTCCATGGCCCCTGTGTGCTCTAATTTGAGTGCGCAAAATTCCCCTGCTACTAGCGTCTCCCAAGCACATCCTCCGATTATCCCATCCGGCCAGAGCCTTTTTGCGGAATTGGAGGACCAACTCAATGGTCCAGACAGTGGTAGCGATATTGGAACCCCTCGTTATTCGACCACGGTATCCCAAACATCAACGCCAAATATTTCCAGATTCAATGATCAATGCCGGCCATCCGAGGCGTCTAGCACTTATTCCATCACTAGGGTAATGGTAGATTCGGGTATGATGACGGATTCCTGGCAACCTTCGCAGACTACTCCGGATGTCGTGGCTTCGTTGACGCCCGTTGAAGCAGAGACAACTCACACTAAAATTGCTACGGAGTCTGGGGATGCGACGGAATTTGTTGACTCTGCTACACAGTACACACCGCGGAAGAGTTCGGCAGTTGACATCGGTGATCTTTCTGTTGCTCTTGATACTCCGCCTAAGACAATATGGGATGTACCTGTCACAGAAAAACAACGTCAAGTGCAATCAGATATGCCAGAGTCTCCAATTTTGACTCCGTTGCTGCCATTGGAATTACATATATCGCCAATCCTATCTGAAGAAACCATGCCTGTTGCTCCTACTATCAACAAGGAACAACCGCTGCAGCCAATACCTCAGCTAGATATGTCTTCCATTACCTATGAGGAAACTTACCCTGTCCCTGCCCTTGTGAAGGCTATTACGCCACCCTCGCTCGTCTTCTCACCTATCCAAACTGAGACAACGGAACCACTGGAGCCATCTCTGTCAAAGGCTGTTAAGAAACCAACTCAGCAACTTAAGATCTCGCCGATTTTCACAGCGGAAACAGAACCGGTGGAACCGCAGGTATTGCGTGGAGTGGTCGCACAAACTAAACTATTCGATGCTGAGACTTCGTCAAAGAGACCCAATACTGCAGTCGATGTAAACGAAATTTCGGGCCACAGCATAGTCGGTTTCAACTCGGTGGATGTTGGGACTGATCCAATCTTTCTGATTTCTTCGACTGTAGACAAATCTGTTGGAAGTGCGAATATAGGTGAGGATGAAAAAGAAGAGGATATAGCAGCGCCCTTTGCCAATAATATATTCAGCCAAATTATGCACAGCTCTGTTACACCGCAACCTGCTCAGCCAGTCCCGCACATTCCGGTTGCAACTATAGAGAATTCAGTCCAGACAATACTTACTGCAACCCAGATCGACCAGCTTCTTATCGAGCGCTCCTCTCGTCGTACTGCTGCACCTTCCGTGGAAGCGGGCACAGACGGTAAACAGCTTCAAGCTCTTGTCGAGGGCGCTTCCGGTTCTCTCTCCACGCCTAAGGCAAGGCTTCTACCAAGTACATTGCAGAAGGATACGTCACAGCCTCCGCAGACTGCTGTTAAACGTCCCGGGAGTGCTTGCAGCCAACGACGCGGCTCGATAACGTCCTATCCCCCGCTACCTCCTGACCACAAACAAGCTATTGCTGCTGCAAGCCAGCGACGATCTTTAGATGTCCCCTCCTCAGGAACGATGGGGCCTCCTCTCGTCCCCGCTTCTGCGTTTCGCACTAATGCGCAAAGCAGAACCCGCACGCCAAACGATCAAGCTTCAAGCATGAAGAATGGTGTTACACCCCGTGCGCATACTCGACGCAGCAGCCAAATATCGCGCCGTTCATCGGTATCTTCGTTCGCGTCAGAGCTTGATGTACGGTTCAACATGAATAATGGAGGATATCCCTTTCAGTCTGGTACCGACCCACGCATGATCCAGGCTATCACGCAGACAATGATAGGAGAGTTTCTATGGAAGTATACACGCCGGACCGGTCGGCCAGATTTGTCGAGCAATACCCGTCACCAACGCTATTTCTGGGTTCATCCGTACACTCGAACTCTGTACTGGAGTGATCAGGACCCGCAGTCAGCTGGGAAATCGCAACGTAAAGCTAAGAGCGTTGCCATTGAAGCTGTTCGTGTAGTCAATGACGATAATCCGTACCCCCCTGGCTTACACCGTAAAAGTCTGGAGATCATCACCCCCGGTCGGATAGTCAAGCTCACCGCTTCGACAAGCCAACGGCATGAAACGTGGTTCAATGCTCTTTCGTATCTCCTTCTGAGAACCGCCGGCGAAGAGACTGCGGATAGAGGTGACAATCTCACTCAAGATGACGTGGATGAATTTAACCCATCTTTACACGGCTCATCGCGTCCTGGCGGATCGCGCATGTCCATTGCTTCTCGAACGAGCCGCAACGCACGCACATACTCCGTACAGTATCCGGAACCCACGCTTACAGTGAAACAGCCCGCGATGTCTGGTCGTGCGTCCCCAGCGTTATCCAGCGGCCGCAACTCTACTTCCCGTGTCGATGTGCGCCATGGCTCTGTTTCCCGTCTCAGCACGATGTTTAGGACTTCGGTCATATCCGGGACGCTTTCGAGCCGGCGGAGCAGGTATGACCGTGCGAGTGAGGGTATAGATAACTCCAACGCTGCGGAGCGAGATAGCGCCGAGAATTTAAGACGGCTTATTGAACAGCAGGAGATGGAGGCAGATCTGTTGGAGAATGTGCGGGCCTGTTGTGATGGTATGATTACCCCCCCTTCTTCTGTGAAGTTTTAATTGATTTTTCCAATTGTGGTCGAATATAGCCCTAATTTTTCTCTTTCTACGGTATCAGGCAAGCATGATGTCAGCTCACTGTCTCGAACGAGCCGATATAGCTCGAGAGCTAGCCGTCTCCCCCACAATCATTGATCTTTTTTTTCGATCTGACTTCCTACAACCTGACCGAGTCCCCTCATTCTTACGTTGTCTCTAATCCAATGCGTCTGACGAATTTCCTTGTCGGGATATTTTTCTTCATCTCATTTCCTTCCTGTCTCGCTTGGTGCATTTATTTATACCTGTCGTATCCTATCGATACCATTTTCCATTTGGAAATTCCAAATTTCCACACTTTTTTGGGACACTTGAGGTTCCCCGTACCTGGTCCTTTTATTTCGATATAGGATATTTTGCTTTTGCATGGATTTTATCTGTTAGTTTATTAACCACCAGATCCCGCGACGGATTCCGGAACACATATTGATGGCCATATTTCCCCCTCCACACAAAACTTTCAGCTCTTCTTTCTCTAGTCACGGTTTATTTCTTGTTAATGGCTCCTTTATCTTCCCTTCTCTTTTCTATTTTTACTTGTCATTTTGCCATATCGTCTTTTAACTGTCACCCGTTTCGCTAAACTGATCCTTTTTGATTCTGATTTTCCTTTGTCTCTATATATTGTTACTCTTTTGGAGCCTTTGATGCTACCTATTGCTTACCAGTACGTTCTATTTTCATCTTGTTTCATTTCCTCCCCACAGTTGCAATCATATCAACAACACCTCTAAATCCAGCTTCTTCCCTTACCATGGTTTCTTTTGTCTTTTATCTTCCTCTCCAGAGATGGAAGTCTTTTCTTCGTTTCTGCTAGTGAATACTAATTATACGCCCTCTGTGTTAAGGGGGTTGTATGGATTCTCTGTTCTTGCATGAGTGATGTAGATGTATGGCAACTCATCTGATTAACGGAGGGAAAGGTTTCTGTGGCATAGTATGAATAATTCAAAAATAACCGCTTAACCCGACTCGACCACGAACGTCGCGCACGCAGTTAGGCCATGCGTAGGGCTTTCTTGAGTCAGTTGGTGGAGACAAGGTCAGACTATCCATGATTCGAACGGCTGCCGTTAAAATTGGGAATTCCCAAAAGCTAGACGCCTTTGAAGCTCTCAAAAGTCATATTTATCAGGTAGAAACATCCTTCACTATTGTTACCCTCGGAATACAATAGTGTAGTCAAAATATAGAGCAATTTTTTCTCATCAACCATCTGAAGTCTGAGAGGCATACCGAGGATCTTCGAGAGTCTTCATCGGTTGGCAATTAGGGCTGTAGGCTTAGGAGAGTGGGGTAGAGAGGCAACCACTGAAAAGGAAAAGGCCGGCATATAGAGTATTTCTTCCAAGAATGGCGGCGGGGTTATACATTATCTAAAGTTCAGGGGCATAAAACGCATACATGTTGTCAATTGAACCCTAGTAAAATGATGCATGTTTGGCAGGAAATGCGGGATGAGCGGGATGGGGATGGCGAAGTGGGCAGAATGAAGAATAAAACATCCACTTGATTGCAAGAGGAGTGGATTGAATGTTCAATTAATTGACCAACAACGATGTTGGTTAAAAGTTGAATTCCTTCATAATTCTGCAACGGGCCGGACTCGCTCCACTCCTGGTAGATAGTTATACATCCTCCCCCCATAATTTTTTGCCTCTTTTTTTTACCCCATTTCCTCCTCCTCCTCCATCTTCTTCTTCTTCTTCTTGATCGGAAAAGAAACACGATTAATATTAATATTAAATAGATAATGGCTAACTAGCAGGTTGCCCTGCCCTTTAGTCACCTGTTCTTGCTCTCCATGCTCCATGGAGCCATCTTTACACTGTGAGCCTCGAGGGAAAATATCATCTCAGACAACATACTGCATACAATCGTTTTCATTTTGCCCACTCTCGTCTATCATCCTCCAGAAGTCTCTCTCAAGAATGCCTCTCAAGGAGTCATGAGATCTATCAATCGGATCTTGCTGAACAGGCCTTCCCGCCGTGTTTTACAGCTGCCTTTCCTGCTATGTATCTTCCTCTCAGTGGCTGTAATCATTGGCCATAACCTCAAGGCTCACCAAAACGTATGGTATACCATCTTAAACCCTTATTATCCATCCTATTGTGTGCCCATGCTTTGGCGTGTAAAATTGTCCTAAGCTGATTGAATGCAATCATGATTTTATGTTGTTATTTTAGCATCAGATAAAATCCCTGCAGGAACAGTATCATGAAGAAGCTGGCCAGTATCCTAGGTTAGTCTTTCAATATTGACTGCGTATATTAGCTATTAGGTTTCTCTAAGTTCATGTGCTGACTTCAAATCTATTGGAAAATACAGCGTCTTCAAGAATTTCGTCTCAACACTAACCAGACTCACCGCAACCCCTGAACATTTAAACAATGCATACGTCGTCGATGACCCCCGGTTCGCTGACGTAACGGGGGCTAAGATCCCTAAAATATACAGTCCGTATCCGGACTACCAGAGCCAGGAATGGAACAAAACCCATCGCGGTAGATATTACCCCTGTGAGGGTCCGAGGGGGAAGTTGGTAGCTGAAAATCTGGACGACCAGGTTGGGGCTTATGTGGGCGACCTGAGTATACAAATATTTCCATCAATTGTATATCTAACTGTATACGTACAAATGGACTAACACTCTGCAATAGAATTCCCTAAGCCCATGTTTGGCTCTCATGGAGCTATAGGCCTCAATGAAAATGTCTTCTTTGACCGCTACACAAGATACGGCGCATACGGCTTTGGAGAGAATGAGACGGACGTGAAGAATTGGAAGAAACCATCTCGGGTGAAATGGGATAAAGTGAACTGGGGGAAACTTCAACGGCAGTGCGTCGCGAAAAACGCCGCCAGATTCTATAGTGACGAGTCTCTGTTGGATGACTTGCCGCGAAATTCTTCCAGGCGCCAAATGAAGCTGGAGACACGTACTGCCCTTCTTATTCGCACGTACGTAGGGAAGACATACTCCGATAATGATATGCATGTGATTCGCTCGATGATCACAGAATTGTCACTGCAATCCGGAGGGGAGTACACTGTTTTTCTCCTCCTGCATGTCAAGGATGGGAAGATTGAACTTGATAAGGACGACGTGTATAAGCAGGTTATAAAAGACCACGTACCCAGGGAGTTTTGGGAGATAACCGTCCTATGGAACATCCCTATGGTGTCAAAACGCTACCCAGACCTTGTTCAGATGAGCCTTACTGAGTATGTCCGCTTCCCGTTCCCTTCAACCTTCCTCGACTGCCTAACATAAGTGAATAGCGTCCACCGCGCCCAATGGCTCTCCGTCCAGCACTTCGCCCTCACCCGCCCAGAATTTAACTACATCTGGAACTGGGAACTCGACTCCCGCTTCACAGGCCACCACTACGAATTCGCCTCCAAACTTTCGCAATTCAGCCGCAACCAACCCCGCCGCGGCCTCTGGGAGCGCAACGCCCGCTTCTATATCCCTGCCCTGCACGGCAGTTACAACCATGCCTTCCGCAATTTCACCCAGCAATCTGAAACAGAAACCATATGGGGTCCCATGCCCATTAACCTCAAATCTCTCAGCCCAGAAGGTCCGTCACCACCCGTTCCCTCACCGGAGGAGGACAACTATGAATGGAGCGTAGGCGAAGATGCAGACTACATAGGATTCCTCCCCATCTTCCACCCTATAGGAACTGAATGGGTCATCCGCAACGAAGTCTACGGATACTTGGGTAGTGACACCCCGCGTCGCGCTTCGCTGATCACTCACTCCCGCCTATCCAGGCGCCTCCTCCTCGCTATGGATAGCGAGAATGTCCTGGGCCGACACATGTCATCTGAACTTTTCCCCGTCTCCGTTTCGCTGCTGCATGGCTTCAAGGCCGTCGCGGCGCCGCATCCGATATATTCGGACAGGAATCTGTCTTCCAAAAGTGCAGAGAGGTGGTTCAATCCTGGCATCAATGGGCGGTCGGGGAGTTCGAGTAATAGCCCGTTTGGGTGGAAGAGGGAGGCGAGGTTTCTGGATCTGTCGTGGTATTATCGGGCGAATTTGGCGGGGAGGTTGTATTGGAATTTTTTGGGCTGGGAAAAGGGTTCGACTGGGGGTGCTCTTGTGAGTTATTGCATATATGCGTGGGCTTGTATAATGTTTTGCTAACTGATCTACCATTCTTTTGCTAGTATGAATTTTTGTACGGACGGGTTGTGCTTCCGTCTATACTCTTCCATCCGATTAAGGACGTACACCCGGATGCAAATAGCATGGGGTATAATTTCGATTTTCAGAATTAAGTTAGCGGATTCATTTGTCATAGGTAAAACCAAAAAGAGGTGGGGGGGGTGTTCTAACATGCATCGTAACAGCGCAAAGGAACTTGACGGGGTCAGGTATGATTTATACACATGGGAGGTTTGGTTGGTTGCATATCATAGAGATTCCTTTTGTGCTTGTCCTCTCTCATATATCCCAGTTAGTTGATGCTGGTTCATTTTACTCTTTTTATGTTTCACTGGCATATAGAATCACGTTAAGTGGTAAGGTAAGGTTCTATTGATTTCTGCTGTTAGCCCTCTCTATCTATTATTATTCCTTTCCCATGGATATATATAATAGATGGACGTAAAAAGGGCAAAAACTACCCCCTTTTGTTATTTTATCACTTAACAATGTTTTAGAGAATGGAGTGGGCATGTAATTTTTTTTTTTTTTTTTTTTCTATATGATTAAGTGCCTTGCGAATAATACGCAATGATTTATGTGAGATGTTGAATAACAATGCACACTTTTTGGTATGGTGAATGGTGCTCAAATCCAGAGCCATAATTTCTTTGAGGCGCTATCACCGTCGTTCCCCCTTCGGACATGACCATCTTTTCATATGGCTAACGTTAAATGCTTCTTCATTCGTAGGAAGCAACAGTAAACAGGCTAGCCATCCCTCAATGTTATCGGAATAAGGAGAATTGTTGGAAAGCTGCTTAGATCATATCTATGCGTTTATCACAAAAGTTGGTCTCTGACGCAGCCTCCAACCCCCCTATTTGTTGAGCCGTCAGTTGGCGCAGTTCCTTGCAGCATCAACAGTGGTAGTTGTAGATCCTGGCCCTTTTTATGCTTGCACTACTCCGTACCTCGATGACATATGAGAAGCGTTCAGTTGTTCCATATTATCAGGAAAGCGCAGTCAATGGAATGAGATGCGGAGTTAAAGAACATCTGCTCAACTCTGCAACCCTCATTTCTCATGATGTGGCTGCATTGCCCATATTCTCCCAGCAGATTCAACATCTTCAGAGGGTTGTTTGAAGTAATGTGACTCTCTGGTGCCTCGGAAAATCTTCGGCATTCCGACTCGGCGAACCCGGCAAATCTCGGACAAAGTCACATGTCTTCGGCACTCGTGAAGATTCTCGGCCTATTTTTTGTTGCAGGAATGTTGAATCATGTTTTCAATTGTTCCCCTCAAATTCTGTTGTTTCGACCTATTCGATATGCCATTTCGTACATACGGAACGGATTCTAAAATACGGCATGCCTCATTCCTTTTCAAATAGAGAACACATCGTCGTCTAACTGCTCTTCGTACACGACAATCGGTTAAATATTGGTTCAGTCGGGATATTTGTTTACAGACCTATTTTGGCTGAAAGCCGAACGAGGCACGGCTCGCTTTTGGAGCGGAACGGGAACCAACACCATCCCGCCCGGATTCTACTATTTATCCTTCCTATCTCATACCTGCTCAGGTGGCAGACGAGAGAAAGGTAACATTGAGAGCAAGCACGTCGACGAGTTACATAGCACTCACTGCCTCTAGCCCTCCAGCTAGTTATTCAACCAGCTACCCAGCAATCAGCCTGACGATTGGTTCTCTTGCCATAAAAAAAAAAAAAAAAAGAAAAAGAAAAAACGAGAGCGATTATGGCGTCCAACACCCCTCCCACGTTCTCTGAGTTTGTGCAGAGCGCGGTGGAACCGGGCATGTTGCTTGTTGGGGCAGCATATCGTACGTGATAAAATTTGTGTTGTTTTCTCTCGTCCGTTTTCTCAATCAGCATTTGTGTGTGCTCTTTGAGGGTGGAAAAGCACCCAGTGCGCCGCAGTCTGAGGATGATTAGATTGCAGCAGAAGAAAAAGGGATTCCAGGATAGTTGCAGCATCGTTTCATCCAACTCTTGTCCTGAATTTTACTCTCCTTCCAGTTTCCAAATTCCAAGTCCCCTGCGATTCTCGGTAGGGGATACTGTGTTTTGTACACCATTCTTCTGAAGTCACCCTGTTATGGATCTTCAGTTCAATGCTTACAAAAATACCCCCCTTTCATAATCCCCGTATATGTTATGTATACGTAATGATGATGGCTTAATCCGGATATGCATTCCCCCTTCCTTGAACCCAGATCCATTATGCCGGTCTCTGTCCATATTCCCTATCCATTTGCATTGGGGCACCCATCCCATTTTGCACGGAATTTCTATACACATCCAATATTTCCCGTTTTTTAAAAGAAGAATCAACAGGGCTAACCATATTACTTTACCATCAAGCCCATATCTTCCCCTCTTTGGGGAACATATGCGCTCTATTAGCGATATATTTTATTACTTTTCGCAGAGTTCACTGCCGTTCTCTTTGAGACTATCTTTAGGCGCGGCGAGATTTTAACTCCCGTACTTCGCCCGCAGCAGGTCCGCAGTGAAGCGTTCTCGAGGTTTTGGATCAATTTTTCTGGTTAGTTAGGTTTTTTTTTTTTTTTTTTTTTTCTTTTTGGTGGAGGGGGAACTTACCCAATTTCCTCATCATCAATGAAAAACTAAAAATTCTTCCCTCAACACACATCCACACAGGCTCCCGCGAAAACACAGAACCTCCACGCGTCGGTTCATCAGTTCTAATCCCACCCCTCCTCGCCCAAGCCGACGGCGTCGTCCTCGACATCGGCCCCGGCACCGGCTCGCAAACCCCCTTCTTCAACAACCCAAACCTAATCCGTATGTACGGCGCGGAGCCCTGTCATGGCCTGCACGGCGATCTCACGGCGAAGGTCGAATCGTGTGGGTTGGGCGGTAAGTATCAGATTCTGCCGTGTGGGGCGGAGAGGACGGCGCTGTTCCCGGCGCTGGGGAGGGAGGGGCTGTTGGCAGAGACGGAGACGGATGTGGTTAGCGGGAAGGTGAGGTGTCCGGTGCAGGGACGGGGCATATTTGATACGATTGTGTGCGTGCGCGTGTTGTGCTCCGTGCCTGATCAGCGGGAGACGATGAGGGGGTTGTATGATTTGTTGAAGCCTGGGGGGAAGTTGCTGGTGTGTGAGCATGTTGTTAATCCTTGGTCTTTGCGTTGTGGCGGGAAGGGGAGGAGGGGAAACTTCTTCTCCCGGTTCATGCAGGTTGTTTATATGTTGTGTGGGTGGAAATTTTTTCTGGGTAATTGCCATTTGAATCGGGATACGGCCAGAGTGTTGATGGAGGTGGCTGAAGAGGCTGGGGAGGGTGGGTGGGAGAAGGTGGATATACAAAAGTGGTTTGAGTGGTCGACTTTGCCGTATGTGGTGGGGACTTTGGTGAAGAGGGCGTGAAGAGTTGACAGGAATATTGTCCATTACAAAGCTCGATGTAACAATCTAGAGTTGATAGTTACCTATTGGCACTGCCTTGGATGGATAGCAACAGGGTAGAGATTTATTTGCATCGGTTTTAGACAGAGCATATAGTTTTCCTTGGGCTTTAACTGCTGTCCTACACTTTCAATGCTAGATTAATGCTTTCTTGCTCTGTTCTCTAAATAGTAGGTATATCAAATGCCAATTGCCGAAGTCCCTCATAACCCTCTTGGTAAATAATGCGATCATATCTGGATGTAATGAACAATCAAATCAATCAATAAATAAATAAAAATAAAAAATAAGGAGCAAAGGTTGCATAACATCAATAAGGAGAAGAACAAGGCTAAAATAAGAAAATAAAGAGGCAGCCGGGAACATCCAACCCAACGCTGTCAGTAGTAAGCACTGTTAAATTACACAATAAAAAAGAACAAAACATCCCATGCAACCCTTGCCCCCCCCCCCCCCCCCCCCCAAAAAAAAAAAAAAAAAAAAAAAAAACCACCACCACCACCATTACCCCAACATCATTGTCATGGACTGCAAGTTCCCACCACCAACCACCTTTCTGCCCTCCGGCTTCGGCCGTCCAGCGGGCCACCAGTCAAACAAATCAAGCGCCTCCTCAGTCCACGGGCCCTGATCCTCCTCCTCAACATCTACGCATGTGGCAACATGCTGGTTCCGTTTCGGAGCCAGGAGGCTCTGTCGCATGCGAGGGGCTGGGTCTGTCGCCAAGGTAGTTCTCCCTCGCACAGACGATGTGTCTGGGAGGGACTTTTGGAAGGATTTTGAAGGGGCAGCAGGGCCTAGCGGCGGTGGTGGTGGTGATGGTGCTGCTGCTGCTGCTGTTGCTGGTTTGCTTCTTTCAGCTATGGTGGGGAGGGAGTCGGAGCGTTGTGTCGTTGGATGTATTCGTGGTGGTGGCGCCGGTGGTGTGGGTTCTGATGTATTTTTAGCTGTTGCTGGTGATGGGGTGATGTCTGAGTGGTTCCGGACCAAGGGTCGATGGGTGGATAGAGGTCTATTATCAGGGGGTCTGGGGGGAGGGGTTTCGGTAGTAGGAGAAGTGGTAGGAGAGACGATAGTGCATTGTGCACTTTGAGGCGCAGGAGGTGCAGGGTTGGGAGAAGACCCCCTCTGGTTACTGGTTGTAGAAGCCACTGGCAGCTTTTGGACACTTGGATTGAGGAATCGGTTTATGGATTTGGTACTTTGAGACGATGGTGGGGGGTCGGCTTCTAATAGGGCGTGCAGAGTTGAACTTGACGGTACAAAGTGTAGGGTGTTATTTGCCTCTGCGGTTGACAGGAAAGCAGCCGGCTTGACGGTATGGACAGGGGAAGGGATATTTTCGGCTTCAGCGGTTTCAGCAGCGCTATCTTCAAGTACCAATAGGGACTGCTTATCCCCTCTTGATTTTTCGCTGTCCTGTCTCTCCGTTGAGTGTTGGACGGCTTGCGGCGGGAGTAGGTCCTTGTACAATAATTTCCTACGAGGCTTCTCAATGGCTATCCGTAGAGTATTGAAGGATCCGCTCGAGTTAGTTAGATCGATGACGGTCTGTGATTTCGTCTTCTCGCCCCTCTCGCCCCCTTTTGTTGTACCTGCGGTACTCTTTGAACTAGATTTGGAGGCAGCGGACTTGTCACAAGCTAGATCCCTTGCTGGCTGAAAGCAGGCGTATGAGCTTGAGTCACGAGGCGGGTTCTGCCATGATGATCTATCAGCGTCATTTCCTCGCTCACGGGCGTCTTGTCTCTGCCTCTTTGGAGCCCGTTCAGCAGTGGCCGCAGCACCATCGTTTAGACGAATGATCTGATGGCGTTCTTCATAGGGTGACCTTGCGGGTAGCGCAACCCTCCCAATTGGCGTCCGTTGAATTCCCAACACCTCATTCAGCGACTTCAGCCGTCCCGACGAGTTTGGAGACGTATTACCATTCGAACCACCAGCGCCCCTTGCTGCAGAGGAAGTCGAAACATGTTTTCTCTTACTCAGCAACTCTGTTAAATCCGTCTGGGTTCTTTCAACACACTCGCAGACCTGCACGAGGACACCGCGTTCCAGCTCCAGCTCATCACCATCATTTAACTCCTCGCCATCGCACCAATGGAGATCTCCAACGAAGATACCCTGAGTATCATAGACCATGACGCGTTTGTTGAAGGAATGGAAGCGCAGGAAGCCATCTTGCCATCGTTTTGCCTTGCGCCTGAGATCATGGGAGAATAGACAGCGGAACCTGCTAACAGGGGCGGAGTTCTGGGTGGTAGCTGACGGATCAGAACTGAGGTGGAATGCAGCAGAGGATTTCATTTTGGATGCAGGCCACAGAGTGACATCTCCAAAATTATGATGCGGCTGGCTAGAATCATGACCATGGCTTTAACTTAGCATTGTCTTCCTACTTGATCCATTGGTATTGAGAGATATATCTAGTTATACCTGAGTTCCTGGGTATAGTTCTGTATAGTTCTCTGCTGTGAGCATCAACATTTGTCTTTTGGATGGGGTGAGTCGCAGAGAGAGATGATGCTGATTCAGCACCCTCACCGGAACACGTGCACCTTCAGAATCAGCACCATATAACTAGTTATTAGTTATAGAATAACATAATTCAGTCTCTTCTGCCCTATGGCAACCGACCCACGGGCTCTGCCGGTGTAGCAATACGCAACTCATTTTGCCTCATTTGTAAGATAGCTACTAGATAGGTAGTCGCCTACGGGCGTAGCTCTACCCGCCCTATAGTTCGACGCGGACTCTACTAGATCACGTGGCCTTAAGGCACGTGGACTAACCAGGCGTTAAATAAAAACACACACACACACACGCACACATACATAATTCAGTCACCAAATGTTCAATTGAATAAATTGTAATTTATATTTCCAACACTCAACAATAACTAATTATTAAATTAAATAACACTAGGGCATTAGTATGCCCATGAGAGCCAGTGACTACACCATGGTGAAACTTGTGAGGATGCTGCTGAGACTAAAGATAGAGACTCTGACAGATATGTTGCCTAATAAGCTGTTCAACTGCCTCTGCAGATGAAATAATAAAAGCCTGAGATTTCTGTCTAGTTAAGCCTTTTCTATGTTAAATATGATGCCTGGATTCTCTTATAGTTTGCTTCTTTTTCTCATTATCATAGTGTGCAGTCCAGCACCTATGACAAAGAAAACTACAGCTAACATAATCAATAAGTGAGTGAACCATATAAGTGAGTGAACCACTTCCCACTCTTTATACAATGAGAATGTCTTCAAAGCCTCAACTATAAAGAAAAACTAGCAAATTACATTATAAATTATTTTCTATACACTTAGAGCATGTACAGGCAATATGCTCAATAATCCCACAGACACTACATCATAGAGCTGCATGTTTTTGTGATTGTATTTCAGCAGTCTCAACCACCCCCTGCTCCCATTCATTGATCCTTCATACACAATTCAAGCCCTCTTCAACCCCCAAAGCACTCTCTTGAGCTATATATATACAGCTTCTTTCTCACTTTCTCTTTTATTTAGCATTTTAAGCTCTTAACTCTCTGTTTTCAGCTGCTAGAATAGCAACACTGTGCATTGTCATTTGACATCTCTTGTTCAGCTGACTTAGAGCATGATTGGTTGGACTGAATGGGCTCTATGTACAATGCTTGATATATTCTTTAACTTTCTCAGCCTGCTGCTTCAATTGGTGTATATTATGTGGTATGACTGTCACCCAGAAGGCCTGGGAGCTATAAGATGTTCCTGAGGGGGTAAGAGTATGCATCATGATATTAAACTGTGAGAGAATCTGCTCAGAATCATATAGAACCAGCTCAGCAGCTCTAAAGCTGCTCTTAATGTTGCTCTCAGTCAGGGCCTGCATCTGAACTGCAGAATAGAGACTCAGAAACCTCTTCTTGTCAATATGATTGATCTCAAGCCACATCTGATTTTCCACCTGCTCTCTGTATGCAGTTTTCAGAGGTGAGAAGCAGCCAACATTCAATAACTGAAGAAGATGAGAGAAATGTGGTGGCATGTAGAGGGCAATGATCTGATTCTCAGTGCAAAATTGATCAAATCCAGCTGAGGCATGGCTTCAGTGCCAGTCTAGAATCAACAATTGATATCTGTCCTTCATACAGAGTAGAGTCTTCTTGTTGAACATCTCTTTCAGTCAGTACAAGCCCAGCTGATTAGTGATTCAGTCATTCTCACTGACTTCAATCACTCAGTTGTGTGGTAGCCCTTCTGTCTTATACCAGCAGGATTGATGCATCTTTTCTTTGAGAATAATCATTATATGCAAAGCCCAGCCAGTTGCATTGACTTCAACAATAACAGTCACTCATTCCTGATCTCCAGACTGTACAAACTTGGAATTCTCAACTCTTTCAAATTCAGTCATCACTCTGACAGTCTCAATTATATCCATTTGAAACTCTGTCTCATCAAAGTTGTAGATATCATCTTCCAGAATCCCATACTTTGCAATAGTGTTTCATATGAACCTAAACCACTCATGGATAACCTCAGAATCCTCATATAGAGCCTGCTAATGATCATACTTGTATGAGAACTTGGATTTCAACTCATCATGATGCTTGACAAAGTTTCATACCCAGCATTCACCTACTGTGGGTGAAGGGTTAGATCCTTGACTGGTAAGAAGGAGATTGATCATTTCTCATATAGCTGCAACTCAGAGAGGCTGACCTCACTCATCCATGGCCAGAATTCATTGAACAAGAGATTCTTCCTCTGTAAAATTAAGTTTCCAGTTCTTTGAGAAAGTGTCAACACGTGCTGTACAACCATGTATGTGATAAGTTAAAGTTGCATAAGAGACTTCATATAGCTTTGCTGCAGCTCATACACTTGAAATTTGATCATTTTTAAGTGCTTGAATGGCTAAAAGAAGCCTTCCTTCCTGAGTAGAGGCTTTATTTCTTTGTGTGGTTGACATTTTTGATGCAGAGCATTTCTCATTATATGAAGGGTGTGAAGTTGGTTCGCTCACTTATATGGTTCGCTCGCTTATTGATTACGTTAAAACCTCAGAGTGAGATTGTTACTAAAGAGTGACTAATATCCGTATGCCGCGGGTCGGAAGTTCGGGTTCAACAAGGCAACCCCCTTCGGGCGGGCGGGACTGTTGAAGCCAACGGGCCCCCGTTCGTTAGTTAACGCCTTAACGTGCATTCCCAGTTCCCACACCGGGGCCACTGCTGGCTGCTGGCTGCTGGCTGCTGGCTGCTGGCTGCAAACCCCGACTGGACCGACGGAGCCCGTACGCCGCTGCTCGGTGGCCGGCTCTGATTCTCCCCCACTTGAAAGATTGGGTCTCAAACAAATCCATGCAGTTGTTCAGATGCTTATGTCCTCTCGAGCTGAGGACAGAAACAGTCTTCCTACCATTCAGCGTAGAAATGATGGCACTTCATGTCAGCTGCTAGTTTAGCTGAACATGACACTGAAGGTAACCAGTCAGCGGCTGTCTCATCATTT